AGCCGTAGAAGGAAGAGAAGGGGCAAGCAGTGCAGCAGGCGGTAGAAATACAGTTCTGGAAGAGGCTTCTTGTGCAAAGCAGACACTCAACCAATGCTTCCTGATTTGTTGATAAGCATTTATAGTGTAGATCTAATAAATTCAAATTAGCAGGAAAATCTAGTCAAAATAAACTCATGCATAGACAAAAGCACATGAGTTCCTCCCTTTCCAGAAGGAGGGGAGCCTGGTGTAGATAGTGGGTTCCTGTCCCAGGCCCCACTGAAACAGTGAGCACCCCGCAGGCCTCTGCTCCCTTACCCTCAGCTTTTCCCCTCACTACTCATTTCAGAGCTCGGGTCAGTACCTAGCACAGTGGCCAAAGCGCTAGAGAAGTCTAGGGTTTCATGAACAGTTCCTTTGCAGCCATCATTTCTCTCTGGTCTTTGGATTTTCTAACCAGTATGGCACCCTGGTGAAGACGGCCTCTCAGCTTCTTACAGTTCTTTCCTTGATGTTGTTCAAGGCATTCCCCCACATGGTGGAAATGCACAGCAAGGTGGCACAAAATCAGACCCCACAGCTTGTGCAGCAGTTTTGGGTCATTTAAATGTGGGTCACATCTTGTGATGGAGGAGGGATCCAAATGACTACAGGCTGCTCGGCTGCTGGCTCTCACGGGCCGGCATCAAGCCATTGCCCCTGCTCTACCCTGTCTGTTCTGTGGCTGTGGGAAACACATTCTCCCTCCCTTTTGCCTCTGTCCAAGGGAGAACTTAGATGTAGGCTGAAAGGTGGCAAATACCTAGCGAGCTAGATTTTCCTGACTGGCCCCTAACTGATACACTCAGGAGATATAAGTGCTTTCTTATCACTTAATCAGTCATTCCTGTTCGTGTGCCCAGGAGCCCGTAACCTGTGCCTAGAGGTGGAAGAGGTGGAGGAGGGGAGGCTGAGACATCCGTATCTGAGTTACCTGGTGTGCAAACATCATCTGGTTGCAAGGTGGACTTGCCCACCCAGTGAAATCATCGGAGGCCATGGATCAACTTCTGCCCCTCTTTCTTCCCCTCTGTCCTTCCCCATTTTGGGAACGCAGTCCTGAATTACATTACAGCCACACATATAATAAGAAACCCAGGCCTTACTCTCCAAATCCCACCTAGTGGGGATGCGTGAGCTGATGATAATGCAGCAGGGCAGGGTGATCACTATGGTGAGGGTGACTGCGGTGGGCAGCGGGCGTCAAGGGAACACCGTGGATGGCTCCACCACGCAGGCCGGGGGAGCTGATGGAAGAGCGAAGGCCAGGGTCAGCTTTTGAGCTGTTCAAGAGGTAAGACTGACACTTAGCAACAACAGGAACATTTAGGAGGCACTACTCCAGGAAGCACATCATTGAATGGATCGTCCTTTACGCTGGTTCCCACTGAGGTCAGTGAGTTGGCGAAGTGGATTCAGGTGGACTGTGCCAAAATCATGGAAAGCCCTCACCTCCACCCACAGCCTAATCCAGTAAGCCTGTGGAGAAATGGCTCCAGAATCCATTTCTTTGTTTTACTTTTCTAATGGATTATGTATTAGGTGTCTGATTATTTCATTCTTATAACATTTCCTCAAGCGTCAGGAACTACTCTGCCCCATTAATGACCCACTAGCAGGGATCAGGCACTCCACTGAGTTTGGGGCTTCTAGTTCATTCAGACCCAGGAATAATGCAATTGAATTCCCACTGGTTGGCCCAAATACTTTATGTCACAAAATGTTGATGGATAATGCTTCTTCAGCCTGGGCCAAGATTTAATTTGTGTTGCAAGGGAACATTTTCAATTGTCAACAACAAAAGGTGATATTTCCAATATTCCTTAAGAACAAGCTTCAAAGGCTTCAGCTCTTCTTTAAAAAGCTTTTCAGCTTTATTTTGACGTGGCAGAAAAGTTTTGCATGCATCCTCCCAGCCACTGTTGTGACAGCTGCATTTAATGAGTGTAAAATAATCAGAAAAACATCCTTTGCTGTGGGTTGCCAGTTGGTGACAGGGGAGAGGTGATGCTGTAATGAGAGCAGTGAAGTCATGCACACATCTGCTGAGGCAGAATTCCTGCCCAGCAGGTCTATGCCGGGCAGCTCACTGCATGGCCTCGAAGCCCGACAAGACCCGCAGACCCCACATCCCATGAACACCTTCTTCAAACAACTGCACTGCCCCTGGCTATTGTTACTGGGGGTTCATCCAAGTACCTTTCTAAGTCTTCCATGTATCTGTCTTAAAGAGAGAAGATCTTTCTGGCTAATCTAACATACTTGTAATTAATAAACTCATGAGAAAGGCAAACTTTAATCCTCGTGTGGAGGCCCAAATCAGAAAATGGAGGTCTTCCTTCAAATTTTGATGGTCACAGTTGATTAAATTATTGTTCAGCAAATATTCACTCCCCTCCAACACAATACACACACTGATCTCCATGGGAAGGATTTACTGTCTTATCACACTGACGTTGAGCTTGACTATGGGATTTCCTTCTGCCAATGAAAGGTGGGCAGACATGACTATATGCCAATTTGGGGCCTACAGCTTAGGGCACTTGCATGTTTACACTCACTCCTCTGAGAACTTCCACATCCATCTTGAAAAGAACATGAGGCAGATCTTAGATGATCCTTGCAGAACAAGAGACAAACTGCACCTGCAGCATGAAGCAGAGATGTCCCAGCTGAGCCACGTGCCTGGAGGAGAGCTGCCCAATGGACCCAGCCTTATCAGTCGAGCCACAGCTAGCTTGCCACCCAGGATGCATGAACATAAATGTCAGTTAGTTTCAGCCATTGAGATTTGGGGCTGTTTGTTATTTAGCATTATTGTGTTGTTGCATAAACTCTTGAGAAAGATTTGCACTTCTCACCCTTCAGTTCCATGTTGGGGTCATGGAGCTGCACTTACTGTTCATGAAGGCACAACTTCAGTCAGGTTTCCAAAGCAGCTCATTGGTTCTAACGTCCTTTGCTGTTTGTTAGCTTCTCTGCCTTACATGGAAAACTAGAGGTACCTTCCTGTGTCTGCCTCCTTCTCTGGAGTCTCAGTGTCGTCTCCATAGAGCTGGATTTCCAGTCTTCCCTCTTGCCTCACTCATGGAAAGTCAGCAAAAATAAGCCATCACACTGAACCATTATGACAATTTACTTTTGAGGGGAGAATCCTGTGGGTGTCTAAGAGCTTACTCTAAGTTATATTTGCTTAATTTATGCTTCTACTGACGAATAATTAGGGCAGCAATTAATTTTAAAATGCAAATGCGCAATGGGTCTCACTGTTTTGTTTTGTTTTAAATACTCTTTGTCCTCTGTTCTACTTGTGTTAGAGTCTTAACGGATTTAGTTTAACAAAGGAATGAAATTATTTTTCCTAATGCTCTATTTACTTGACTGAATCAGACTTTTTATCAAATATTGACCACAAATATTTGTTCAAGATCATATGCCATAGAATTTAATAGAAATAAAAACCTGTACTAGAGAACCATCATTTTTTATGTGTCTTGTGGGTAATCCATCTGAATGATGAAAAACTGACAGACAGCTGTTCATAGCAGTGTGCCTGTGTACATGAACCTGTTGTTTCCTACTCAGAGGGAAAACTCCTTATCATCTCTGAAAATGTCACAGAGATATACTTTGAGAAAAGGAAGCTTTCCAACTGCAAAGACAAGTAAAATTAGCTTTTATTTCTTTTATATCCTCCATCCGTGGGAAGATTGAGGACATAGTTAAGGTCCATTCACACTCTTTGCATTTGTTCATTCATTCAGTATCTACTGACACCTAGTATATGCAAATGCTCCACCCTGAGAGTTCACAGTGTGCTGAGAAAACCAACAGAACAGCCTCTATATATTGTTGTCATCATGCTACCTGGTGTCATTTTACACGCATGTTTATTATCTTTTCCCTTCACTACACTGTGAGGCCCACGAAGGCAGAGACTGGGTTTATATTCTCACCATCCAAGCAGGACCTACCGCAAGAGAGACCCTCATATGTGAGACTGTTGAAAGGAGAAAAGTGATATTTTGAAGACATGAAGCTGATGAAATGGGAGCCCAAAGGAGAGATGCCTTTCTCAGTACAAGATGTGAAGGGAGGTTAATTGGTCATAAAGGTATCGAGTCGCAGGTGAGGGTGGCAGCAAGGGGCTCACATGAGGAGAGAGGCAGGAGGCTGCCCGAACAAGCAACTGAGAGCACAGAGTGGGTGTAAAGTCTCAGAGGTGGAAGCGAAATGGACAGAATTGGGAATACCAAGATTTCACTGGCACCTGGGATCCCTTGAGGAATGACAGGAGCTGGAACTAGACAGGGAGGGAGGCCTAAAAGAGAAGTCATCTTATGCCCAGGTGAGGAGCCTTCATCTTTTTTGCAATCAGAGAAATTACTGATAAATTACTGTAAATTATGTAAAAATGTCATGTAAAAAAGTCACTGTAAAAATGCAATGTAAAAGATTATAATGAACCTAATTACTGATAAACTGAAATATTCAAGTATCAAATTACTAATTGGCATGAGCACTGAAGAAATCAGTTGTCCACTTTTGGCAGAAAGTTAAAGCTCTCTTTTATAACAAACCTGTAACATTTTTCCACTGATATGTGCCTTGCTTTAAGGATACATCCAAGACCTTACCAACTAACTCAGAAAGAATACTAGCCACACACATCAGATGTAGCTAAATCTTTCTTCCATTATACAAATATTGAAAGGAAAATCATCATTTTGGTCTGATTTATCTAAATAATCCCACAAGTCTCCATTTACTTTTAGTAGACACTCAAAATAAATAAAAAAGAACTATCTTTAAGACTAAACATCATTCATATAAAGTCTATGTTAAAACAATATCCAAGTTATTTGCCTGTTTTCACACATGTGAGAAAAGTATTTCATATGCCAAGAACTAATGAAAGAACATCACACAGCCTACATGTTTGGATTTCATTCTTTTGCTTTGTGGGCTTTTCCATTTTATTGGAGAAAAAAAATTAAATGGAGCATGTATGCAGATACAATCACTTGCCTGCTGCAGGTTGGGGTCATCAGCAAATGGTAGGTAGCAGGCCACTTCAGATCTAATTGTGAATTCCTCTCTTGTACACAGACTTCAGCCTGGGATGACAAGGATTTTTGAACTTCAGGGAAAAAAATAAAAGAGGAAGAATTTCAATAAATATTTCATTGTCTAGTCAACCAAATTTGCTAAGCCTGATTATTTCTCTCAGCCTCCAGGAACTGTACAGGAAGCCTCCCCAGATGTTCCCCTTCATGCCAAACTTACCACTACATGTCAGGGAAGTGGCCCGGCATCTGTATCCTGGAATCCCAGCTGTCTGTGATGAGAGAGGAGAGAGAAGGTCACACCTACCAGGGGAGAGGCCTGGATGCCCCCTGCCACCCTTGCCAGGCCACTTTCCCAGTTCCTGAACTGCACTGATTAACCAGTGATTGACTGCACCTTATCCTTCCCAGGTTTATACTCTGTTCCAAACTGTGAAGGTCAAGGAACACGGGGACTGAGAGTTCCTGAAGCAGCCTGGCGCTAACCACACTCCTTCCCTGTAGCAACAGAAATCCTGAAAAGATGATGGTGATTGAACAAATATTGGGCAGGACCATGACGTGAGTTTTGGGGATTCTTTGTGTGGGCCCACACATGCCCACTGCTCTTTCCAGGCAACATAGCCCATGGTTTTCAGCAATGATGGGGTTCCCTATACTTGTGTTCTTTGTGTTCTTTGTTTTTGTGCACTTTTTAAACTCATATTATTTGTTATAAGTCTTCAGATTCTGACACTTGTTCTTCTCCTTTGGATCACGCCTAGTTTGTCCTTCTACCACTCTCAAGCTATATCAATTCCCTGGAGGTGATCACACTGGCTGTACCACACATAATCTGCTGCCAGAAAGAAGCTTGGACCTAATGTCAAATAAGACAGAACCTCACACCTTTACTAGACATGATCCTGCCACAACCAGCCCCTGGCAGTCAGACTCGCCAAGCAAAGACTCTTGAAAGAGCTTTTCCAGAAGAATTCTTATTTGGGTTTTTTTTTTAACCACAAAGCCAAGATTTTGAAGGCAAATTTGATACTCTTATAGCTTTGCTGCAAAAAATAAGGAGTACAGTAAACTCTTGACTAAGACTGTCATGCTGGCATCTCCGAAGAGGTCTCAGAAGGCCATCACCAGAGTCTGGGGACGGAAAACCTGAGACCACACAGATTAGAATGGATTAAACATTATACCTCAGAGGATGCAGAGAATTCTTATTTGCTTAGCAATTTAGAAAAGAAAAGAGTTTTGGGCTGCCTTGCCTGCATATTTTATTTTTCTAACCCAGTCTTCAAGGGATAGGAGTTTCCAGTGGTATAGGTGATGACTGACCAAGCCTTCATGGTACCATATTTATCTATTAATGATCAACTTTTACTAAAAATAAAATTAAAACATAAATTAAATAGAAATCAATTAGTAAGATACTGAATTTTTGTATATGTTTCTCATAATAAATTCTATGTAGGCCTTATAACTTTGTATTATTAAAACTGGAACTTTTCACTACTGGTATAAAGACTAAACTGTTTTAGCAATAAAATAATAGCTTTACGCCCTCATTTATTTATTATTTGATATTAATGAGGGGGAAAGGCTTTTGATTCTAAAAAACAAAAAAAATTATACCTCAAAATAAAAAAGTCAAATAAGATCCAGTTGCCATTTACCTAATTAGAAAATGTCCAAACTGAAGTTTTGATTTATTTTTTTCAGCTAGCTTTCATGGACCTCCAATAGAAGGCTCCATGTAAAATTTTCTTTCTAGACATGTCATTTTCATTAACATTACTGTGATACAGGACTAATCATAGTTAAGTGTTATTATGGCAGTATTTAGAAAAGACTGTGGTAAGACAACATTTCATTACCAGCTTCATGCTACCCACCCCTGAGTTTTACCCATCTATCTGCCTACTCATAGCCTCTCCGAAAACAGAGCTTGGGCATCACTAATATTAGAAAGGACATTTTTCATGCTTTATGTTCTTTTATTTTGTCCCCTGTTGGTTTTCCTTCATTTATGATCTTATTCTTTAGGCATTTCTTGCTTAATGGAATTGATTATATGTATAAATAAAGCATTGACAAAATGGCCTTAAGTTTAAAAGTAATGTTTGACTTTAAAAATAAACTCCTATCCTACCAAATGGGGTCCAGTATCATTCTGTTTGTTTTATTGTTTGATTTTTTTTTTTTTGCACCAGCAACCAGAGTTGTACTAAAAACCTGCATCTAAGTTGCACAAACTCAGAAAATACCAAAGATGAGAAGGTTGTACTGGCATTCATGGGAATGTCAACTTCCAGTTACTATTATTTTAATATTGTCCCACTGGAGAGTCACTATATTGAGCAGTTTCACAGAAAAAGAAGAAAAGACTTCAGAATGAATTTCCTGAGGGATACATAGGAGATTAAATAAGGATTTGAGAAGAGATTAAAAATAAGGTATAGTTCAAAGAAAAAAGTTTTGTAAATAGCTGGGTCATCATAAAAGATCAGAGTCAAGTTCTCTTAAACAAAGATCAGAATGATGAGTGCTGGAAGAATCAAATGTAATTTAAAAATTAATATATCACAACATATAACATACCAACAAAATCCCTACGAACAGTTTTACTTAAGACTGATGGTACTGTCACAGAGCTGAAGGTTGGGAAGAAATATTTAACAGGCTCTAAGACCCATACAAGGAAACACAGAGATACATCACATTAACAAAATATAAGATAAATGCATTTGAAAGATTCAACATTCTTTCATGGTTAAAAAAAAAAGTCAACAAACTTAGAAGGAAACTACCTCAGCATAATGAAGGCCATAAATGAACAGCCCACAGCTAACATCACAGTCAATGGTTAAACACAGAAAAGGTTTACTCTAAGATCAGGACCAAGAGAGGGACACCCTGTCTTACCACTTCTATTCAGCATAGCACTGGAAGTGCTAGCCAGAGCAATCAGGCACAAAAAAGAAATTAAAAGCATATAAATGAGAAAGGAAGAAGTAAAATTATCTCTGCTCATAGATTACATGATCTTATATGTAGAAAACTCTACACACACTCAAAGAACTGCTAGAACTAATCAACAAATACAGCAAAGCTGCAGGATACAAAATCAACACACAAAAATCAGTTGTATTTCTATAGACTAACAAAGAACAGTCTAAAAAGAAAATTTACAGAATGGGAAAAGTATTTATAAATCATGTATCTTATAAGGGGTTAAGAGTCAGAATACACAAAGAACTTTTACACCTAACAACAAAAAGACAACCCAAATAAAAATGGGCAAAGGATGTGAATAGACATTTCTCCAAAGAAGATATGCACATGGCCAATAAGCACATGAAAAGATCTTCAACATCACTAATTTTCAGAGAAATGTGAATCAAAGCCACTGTGAAATATCACCTCATGCACCTTAGGATGGGTACTACCAAAAAATAAACAAATGTTGGTATGGATGTGGAGAAACTGGACTTTTATACATTGTTGGTGGGATTGTAAAATACTGCAACCCTTATGGATTCTGTATGATTCCATTTATATGAGGTATCTAAAGAATTCAAATCCATAGAAACAAAAAGTAGAATGGTGGTTATTAGAGGCTCAGGAAAGGGGGAAAACTGGAGTTGTCATTTAATTGGTATAGAGTTTCAGATTTGCAGGTTCTAGAGATCTCATAGCAACATAAATACAGTCTAGTGAACTTGAAGAATAACAATGGTTAAGATGATAAATTTTTATGTTATGGTTCTAACTACAATAAGAAAGACTTTAATTTTAAATTCCTTTAAAAAGAAATTTTTAAAGGAATGCAATGGAAAGGGGGTCATGCAATGTAAAGGAAGCCCAGAGCAAGTTAAGGCTCATTGGTGGGATGAGATGGGGGTAGGGGAATAGAGAACTATGAGATCTTGAATCCACAGCTTCCCTGCGTCACTTCTCCCAGTTTGGAAGAGAAACAATGTGAATGAATTCAAGTGCTTTTTCAGACCCCAAGTCGAAGCAAGAAGAGGTCTGCTGACTGGTATGGCCACAAGATAAAATGCATATCATTCATTCAATCAAGTCTTCCCTCTGTGTGGCAGGCATGGTTCTAGGCACCAAGGGCAGGAGAGCCAGGAAGAGTCTGCTCCCATGAACTTGCACCCTCGAGGCTCACCCACCATCTGTGCTCCGTTTCGTCACACAGATGCAGTCTCTGCTGTGTATCTCTGCATCCTTGCTTTTAAGGGTTGGTAAACTCCTTGAGACCTTGGACCAGTCCTTTAAGGCCATCCACCCGCTGCAGTGCCAGCCAGTGCTTGCTCAGGTGTAGGCAGAGAAGCTCAAGTCCAAGATGGCAGAGGCAGTAGAGCAGTTCCAAACAGGGGCTCCTCCCGCAGGGCAGAAGGGACGGCCTGCAACTGCCTGCACCGAGGAGGATGCTGCTTGCGGAGTACGGGACCTAACCAAGAAGCAGAGAGTATGCCAGAAACAGCACAGGTGCAGCTGAAAGAGCAGCAGTGAGGCCTGCAAGTGAGGAAGGGTGCAAAAGAAACTGCAAGAGACAAAGTCATTCAGAGTATTTGCAGAAGTACCTCTATGCTGCGGTTCACAGAAGCCCTGTGGGCAGCTGGTACCCTACACATCACTGGGGAAGGAAGGCTCACCTTCACAAGGGGCAAAGAGTTTCCAGTGCCCTTGAGACCCCTAAAGTTAGACTTTTCCACCTCTGGTCTGCTGGTCACAAAAGGACCCCCCACAGGACATGGGGATAAAATATTATAAATTCTATATTTTTCAATGTCATCATTTTTTGAATTTCTACCTTTGTGTGTATTTTATAATGTATATAATCTATTATTAGAATAACAGGTGCACCCAATAATAAATAAATAAGCAAGCGTATACTGGGGGGTTATGCTAAAAATATTTTAGTGATAAGGGTGAACAATCAAAAAAACTTAGTGATCACCACTCTTAGGCCACCCACTCCTTAATAAACTCCTCTATCTTTGAGTAGGACCAAGAACACCATGTATTTGGGGATACCCACTGCCATTTGTACCAGACCGACAGGATGGAAGGGGGGAAATAAAATAGAGAGTGAAGCGGGCCGGCAGGGGAATAGTTGCAAAGTGAAACTAATTAAAAAGCAGAAGAGGTAGACAAGGCCCCAGAAGGAAAGGAAAAAAGGAAAGCAAGACCTTCTTAATTACAACCCTTTAGTAGAATTAGTGCCTCACATCGAAAATTGCCGAGTATCATAATTCTTCCAAGTGGTAAA